CATGCAAGAAGTGCTCTACAATGGATTGTCAATGGTGATAACTAAGAAAATGTGTTGATGTTATTGAACTAGCACCCAGAATTATACTAACTTAGTAGTTTAAAGGACCTTATAGAGTAAGAATCAACCAAGAAAAAAGACAGAGTAGAATCATAGTATTCCTAAGCAAGCTCTCAAATTAGACAAAAAAAGGATGACTAAATGAGAATGGAGAGAGAATGAAAAAGAGATAGACTAGAGAGGAAACAAAGAGGTTAAAAATCTGTCATTTGTAAAAGACAAAAATAAGTAGTAGTGACTGTTGAGTGACTTTTCATTCACAAAAAATAATAAATGGATTGTGGTTTTTTAAGTAATTTTAATAATAAAAAAATAAGAGATATAAAAAATGTAAGATATGTGTCTTATAAAATATTTGGTCTTATCTAAAATATTATTAATTTTTTAAAAACTAATTTATATTAATAATATTATTATTAAAAGAATTTAGAGACCTTATAAATTTAGGAACTCTAAACATTAGTCTTAATTACCTTATTGAATGTCCAGTCCTGGGTGAGTCCACTTGAATAATAAATTAAATTTCATTTTCAAGCTTTTCATATGTTCTATGAATTGAGCATTTTATAAACAATTGTTGGTGTGATGGGTCGAATCAAGTATAAACTTTCGTTGTATAAATTATTATAATAGGTTGAGAAAGAGGGTAATAAACTAATAATGTTATTGCTGTCGGATTCATTTGCTATTTATCATTTCTTTTAAGCCATAAAAACTCAAAGGATAAACTCTATCACATATCCTCCATGCAACACGCTTTCAGGTTCAGCGGTAACACTAACATGGCAATATTGTTATTTCATGTTGCCTTTTTTTAAAATAGGTGATGACTTTCATTTTGTTTTAAGAAAAAGTAAGCCATTAACTTTTATGAATGGTCACAAATAAATTATGAATCGTTTACTAACAAATTAAATATCTTGGATTTTAGTCCACGCCAAATAATTATAAGGAGGGAAAATGTAACCAAATTACTTAACGACCAAACTGTTTAAGTTGAATAATATTTTAAATTGAAAAATAAGAACCAACATGATAAAACCCTGTTAACATATAATCATGTATCTTTTAACATTTCTTATTGATTAAAAAGTTTACGACTATAGCAATAAAAATCAAATCTTGGTCCTTATGTATTTACACAAACTCTTATCATTAAATTAGTGATTTATCATATTTTTTAACATGGGATTAAAAATTCAATTCGTACATATAACCATATTATTAGTATCAAATTATTTTGGTGGAATTTAATTTCAAAAATTGAATACAAATTTTTTTTAAGTATGACTCAAAATCTTTTAAGAGATTTTGCATAAATGTAAAATAGTGTGAGTTTAAAGAAGAATTTGTGAACAAGAAGTAAAAAAAAATAAGTTTGAAGAAGAAATGAAGATTAAAGAGTGAAAAGTTTTGGTTTGAAGAAGATCAAGTAAAGAAAAAAATTACAAACAAATCTAAATTATTAGAATTGAAATGATGGTTAATAATATTGTAGTAACTCGTTGATCCATGAATGTCATTAAAATTTAATATACATAAAGTATTTACAAATTTTAACTTTTATTACATGATACAAATTAGTATTTATAGATTACAATTTTTAACTATTAATAATTATCCTTCCAACCTTCACTAATGATGCCTTTTATTTTGATCTCTATCATTGAGTCTTAATTCCTATAAGTCTTCAAATTTCTATCATAATCTTGTAATCTTATTTAAAATTACATATAAATATTATATATATAATATTTATTGAAAACTTTCAAATAAATACCTCCAATAATTTGTTTCCTAACTATCTGTCGGATATATCTTTGATTAAGCAAAATTAGAAACATCGTAAATCACTTTCATATCTTTATAAATTCTTTTAGACACCTCGTTAATCCACTTCATGTTTGACACTTGTTTTTTCCATTATAGATAAAGACCACTAGCCAGTATATAGCCACGGAAACTATTGTTGCGTCACCAAAGAGATATTTTTGGAAATTAGACATTTTTTTTATTCAACGTACCTTCATATATCAAAAGCATGTGATTAAATTTCACTTAAATAATATCAAGATTATATGTTCCTAATGATTAATGATAGTGAAGTCAACGAGAGTATTCTTTACAGAAGCTAATTGGAATGGTCTCAAACTCAGCTGCAGAAGTCGATAAGGTTGATGAATATTATTTCGTCTTTTAATTTTAGATAAGAATTATATTATTCTTGGTGTGAAGGGATAAGCTTTGCGTTGTCGTTCTTTTAAGGAAAATATATTTTCCATCTTTTGGTCAAGTCTCTGATGGAGTGGGGCATTAACAGGGATAATTACAATATATAAAACCAAATTGATACCTAAAGAAAAAGATAATATCGATCTTATTAGTGGTAACATTCAAAATAAGATCATAGCTAGTGATCATCCATTATCCACCATTCCACCTCATCTCATTTCCTCGTGTTTATCAATCGTTACCATTTAATAATACTAATACAATAATATTATATTTGTAATGTCTAGAATTAAGTTTAATTTTTAAAAAGTAATTAAAGTTTAATTTATGTTAAAAACATTATTATATTGGTTTATATATATATATATCGTGCTCACCCCTGACATGTTAACCAAGGTCACGATACTCACGTAACAATCTCGGGCCGTGCTCACCCCTGGTCATAGGTGTGAAGAACCACAATCACATCTCATTCACATTCCACACAACATCTCATAATTCAATTCCATACGCACATCTCAAGCAATTCACATCTAAGTCATCAATTTTTATCAAGTAATATAGCAATAATATTCATAAATTAATATAATAATCAATTTTAATACAATCTTAACATAAACGATAAAATTCCCAATTATTCCAAAACCTAACTCACAGACACTTTTCTACAGTTTCGTTCTTCCTCTCAGGTCATCATTCTTACAAATTAAATATGTATTTCTAATCCTCAACACATACAGAATCTAATGGGATCATTAATTTCTCAAACCGAAATATTCTAATTTTTCCAAAACTTAACTTACAGACACTTTTCTATAATTTTGTTCTCTCTCCCAGATCATCATTCTTACAAATTATTGGCATATTTATAACCCTCATCACATACAGAATCTAATGGGATCATCCATTCCTCAAACAGAAATCATCCAACTTTTCAGAACCTAACTTACAGGCACTTTTCTATAATTTCGTTTTCTCTCCCAGAGCATCATTTTTACCAATTAATCATATATCCATGTTCCTAAATACATACATAATCAAATAAGACCAATAATTCTTCAAACAGAAATAATTATAAAATTAGGGTTCTTCCTCTACCCAATTTCCTCATGTAACTCTACATATAAATAATTCTCTTTTCCCCCATACCTGGATAAGAAGAAGCTGAATCTATATATGTAGAAGTTGAATCTACACTAGATCTGGTTGATCTCCCTCGCTGGGTTCCCCTCGGTCTGAAGCAGAAAGTAGAGGAAAGAAGAGAGAGAGCAGAAGAAAAAAAATTAGAAGAGGTGTGCTTTTTGGGAGTGGCAAACAGCTCTATATATAGGCAGATACAACTCCATCTTTTGTTTATACTCCTCAACACTCATACTCTTTTGAAAAGAAATAAATGAGAAATAATATTATGTATATTTAGTACAATGAAAAAAAGAGAGAAATAAAGTGTATATATATATAAAAAAAAAGATTAGATAAATAAATAAAAAATAGAAAAAGAAAAGAAATAGAAAACAAAAAATATTTTTATTTTTATTAAATATTTTTATTTTAATCATTTAAATAAAATTATGACTAAATTGATGATATTATGAAATAAAATAAATAATTGTTAAAAAATAAATAAATTATTTTAAAGTAATATTTTAAGATTAAAATTAATAAATTTAAACATTTAAAATAAGTAAATAAAATTTTAAACTTTCATTTGAATAAATACAATTTCTATTTGATTGAAAGTTTATGTTTTTGAAAGAAAATGTATTCAAATAAAAGTTTTATTTATTCGATTAAGTAAAAGCTTTTTCGCGTGAGTAACGTGTTATTCAATTGAGTAATGTTTTATTCGAATACAAATGATTTAAAGCATGTATTATTTATTTTCATGTTGATTTGAGAACAAATAAAAAGGTGTGAATTCGTGTACAAATTTTTTTGATACCAAACGATTATAAATTTTTGTTTTTTCGTTATTTCGTCTTTATCATCTTATTTCTTCGCCATTTCACATGTATCAAATGAAGTGTACTTATTTGTTTCCTCTATCGTGTCTCGAGTAAACTATATGATTTCTTTAATTAATACGATAATATTCAATCACTTTATTTTACTATGAATAATCAATAATAGTACTATACATGTTTATACAAATAAAAAATTACACATATTTTATTGCAGAATTAATTTATATACACTATTAAATATTAATTGATAAGTCATAGATTCAACGAATATTTTGTAAAATTCTACGGTATATTTTCCATATACAAAAGGAATTTAACTCTAGCATAAGAAGATGGCATATATGAGAAAATATATGGTGCATTAATCTAAAAATAAATTGGAGAGTGCATTCACGAACTGAAAACAAATGAATACTAGTAGGGATTGCATTTGCATGGAAGAGAGTAAAATAAAAGGAAGACCGTATACGGAAGAGGACCAAAACTATATACGGCTTGTCCGACACAGAGGACGAAAGAGGAAGTGACGAAAATACCCCTACCTGGTGGCCACGAATTATTAATGTTTTGTGTCGGGCAAGATCGAAATAAAGGGTTTGCCAGATCGAAATAAAGGCACACTCTATGATGGTCAAAGTGAAGACAACTCAGACAAGGTTTCTGGTTCAGAGCTTTTCTCTCCTCTCGATTGGGACTTTGATCCAACGCTAGCTGCCAAAAATCTAAACAAAAAGAAATCCATGACAGTAAAATTATAAAAATATAAGTACTTAGGAATGAATGAGTAATGTTGCAAATGCAAGCCCCTGCCACATAGCACATGCTGGGAGGTAGAAAACAAACAAAACAATAAATGAGTTTGACAAATAAATTGAAGATTAGCCAAGGAATGGCAGGGGTGATAATGCGGTGGGAAACATTGGTTGAAAATGGAAAGGAAATGAAAAAGAAATGGAGAGGGGTGAGGTAGGGGTCATGCTCATGCTGACCCTGTTGGTCTCCTCACAACTATATCTTCCCACGTTAGGAACGTAGATGCTAATGTCAGTCACTGTATTTGGAAAGGCTTTGCAAGAGGAAGGGAACAACCAACTCTCTCTTTGCATTTCACTCATAACTTAACTCCTTTAAACTCTCGCTCCCCTCAATCCTCCCTCTCTTTCTCTTAACCTTTTTTCTTTCACTAAAACCCCTCAAGGCTCAACTTTACCTGTTTCCTTTATTTTGTTTGATCTATTGTGATTTCATTGGTCCCTTGCTAACAAGTGTGGCTATAACATAACTCTCGTGTACACAAGTAAGTACATACATGATGTGGTTTGGAGTTGGTTTATTTTTATTTGTTCTCAAATCTCTTTCTTTCCAACTGCACAAATGGTGATGATGATTCAAAATGTGGGTAGCTTAGGGGACTAATTTAAGCGATGATAAACAAGTTTGTCCAAACTGGGTATTCTTCACTTTTATTAAAAATAAAAACTTCGGTCTAATATTTGGAATCCGCATTGGGTTCCATAAGGACTAAGCGAGAAGCATGAAGAACTTATATTGGTTTAAAGAAATTTCTAACAACGTTAGATCAGGGAGAAGGCTTTCACTTGGGGAATACAAGCGAGCAGTGTCATGGTCTAAGTATCTGGTCTCATCTGGGGCAGCCATAAAGGAAGGAGAAGAAGAATGGAGTGCTGATATGTCTCTGTTGTTCATTGGATCCAAATTTGCTTCTGGCAGGCACAGTAGGATTTACAGAGGCATATACAAGCACATGGATGTTGCAATTAAGCTGGTAAGTCAACCGGAGGAGGATGAAGAATTGGCTGTTTTGCTAGAGAAGCAATTCACTTCTGAGGTTGCTTTGCTCTTTCGATTGCGCCATCCAAATATCATAACTGTAAGTTCTGATTCTTCAACCATCTCTTTTTTCTGGAAGGAACATACTATCTTTGAGTCTTAATGTCCTTTCATCAATTATTCCCTTTAAATTGTTTTTTTCTCATTGATTAAGAGAACAACATTTCCCTTCCACACCCACCCTTTTAACTTGTTTACGGTTCAAAGAGGTAAGTGTTGAGTTTGAGAGGTATAATTTTGGAAATATAAAACTGTGTCTACGAACTCTACACCTAACGAATTCTTTGATATGGTGGATCAGTGGTACTCCTTCTCTTTCTCACTAATCGAAAAATGACACGTCATTAACTATCTCTCAGGTTGTTTGTGTTTCTTTTTTTTTTTTTTTTTTTCTGTTGGTTTTTAATTGGAGGGAAAGAAAAATGGGAACAGGTGATTTGAATACAAAGGGGTATCTTCATCTGAAGGCTTAAGTTGTAATATGGAATTGAATAGGAGAATATTATTAGCTAGAAAAGGAATCATGGGGAAAAGATGAGTTTACATGTTCTGAGCCAAATGTATTTTTGTCGGTGAAATCATTCTCTTTGAAGTAGATAATGTTGCATAGTGGCCTAATGGCCTTTTCATGAGTGCTAGCACTTGGGGCTGAGATTGGAGTTGCTGTTTTATAGAGAAGACAAGGCTTTATGTGTGTAGTTTCATTAGCTTGCAACGGATGAATAATAAAGAATTTGAATATTTCCCACAGATATTGAGACTATATTTATTGGTGGTGCAGTTTGTTGCAGCTTGCAAAAAACCTCCTGTTTTTTGTATAATCACTGAATATCTGGCTGGGGGTTCCTTGAGAAAATATTTGCATCAGCAAGGACCACATTCAGTTCCTCACAAACTTGTTCTGAAATTGGCATTAGACATTGCACGTGGCATGCAGTATCTTCATTCTCAGGGTATACTTCATAGGGATCTCAAATCAGAAAATCTGCTGTTGGGGGAAGATTTGTGCGTAAAAGTAGCAGATTTTGGAATCTCATGCTTGGAATCTCAGACAGGCAGTGCAAAAGGATTCACAGGAACATACCGTTGGATGGCACCTGAAATGATAAGAGAAAAGCGTCACACCAAGAAAGTAGATGTTTATAGTTTCGCCATAGTTCTATGGGAACTCCTAACAGGATTGACGCCATTTGATAACATGACAGCAGAGCAGGCAGCATATGCTGTGACTCACAAGGTATTATTGCGTTAATCCTTTGGAACATGTTCTTGTAATGTATCGTATTATCATCATCTTATTTTTATTTTCTTTTCAATTTTTAAAGATTTGGATTGGATAAGAAGCAACAAAAATAATTAAAGTATTAATTACATGTGTCGATGCTCAGTTGTTCTTTTACCCACAGTAATTTGAGTAGGGACTTTTCATCATGTCCCTTATCCTTCTGGATATGATGGGCAAGTGCAATTATCATTCATTGGCTATGATGATATGAACTTTACATAGCATCATGTGGCTATGTTTATCATATAGTTTTGCCTGACATCCAGATGATTTTTTTAGCTTTTTACAACATTCAAGATATGGTATCATATTCACCAAAATCAATCATTGCTTCCACCTCTACCTTTCCTCCCATATGCATAGTACATCATAACGATGTACCAAAATCCCAGTTACAGATCCGATTACATATATATTTGGACCAACATAACATTTTGCGTTCACTGTTTTTGCACATATTGCAATATCCTAGGGATATGATTCTGTATAAAATACTAAATAAATGTACACACATTTCTGTGGATATTTTCTAGTAACTGATGAATGTATACACATTTGCAGAACGCACGGCCTCCGTTGCCATGTAACTGTCCAAGGGCATTTAGTCATCTAATCAACAGATGCTGGTCAAGCAATCCAGATAAACGACCACATTTTGATGAGATAGTCTCAATTTTGGAGAGCTATACTGAAGCACTTGAGCAGGATCCAGAATTTTTCTCTACTTACAAACCACGTCCTAATAATATAATTCTTAGATGCTTACCAAAATGTAATACTGCCAATAAATCTGCTTCTTGCAAAGCTTAGGATTCTCTTTCCGATAATGTCACATTAATTGTATTAAATCAATCCCAAGAACTAATATATGTTTAATTAATAAGTATAATCACATCTTCCATAATATTGTTTAAGAAAGTAAAGCTTTGCCGTTCCGTACTTCCAATTCCGTCAACTTATTTACTTTTTGCATCGCAAGATGTGATATTTAGATACCCACCATTTTATGCACATTATTAACATTCATTAAGTTACTTTAAATATTATATTGTTTGAAACTCGTCGATTAAAATGTCATGCTTCACCAAAAATAATTTGTTTTTTCAAATCCTATCATCACAATACAATTATAAAGAATGCTAAATTTCTGCGTCTTATTATTTAACATAATATCATCTCAAATTCATCATACATCCTTTAAAGTGTATGATAAAATATAAATAAAAACTCAAGGTTTTAAATATAAATAAATTGAGAGTAATTTGTTTAATTTAAAAAATAGACAAACTTGCACAAAAATAGACAAATTAACCCGAGCTCAATTAACATGTTTGTCTCTTAGCATAATTCTATTTCTTAAAAAATTTGTCTCAAATCCTTGAAGAAGAAAATGATGAGACAACATCTTCTAACTAATTAATAAAAATTTTAAAGAAATAAATTAAAATTAGGTAAATATCAAATCAAAGTAACAAATGGAGCAATTTAAATAACAAAATATAATTAGAGATGATAACGAGTCCCATGGGGACAGCTACTCATACTGTTCTATTAGATAAAAATCTATTATATATTTGTTCTATATTTGTATTGATATTCGTTAAGTAGATATTCATAAATTTTATATATATTTATGGTTATTCGTGAATATTTATAAATATTTATAATTTTTTTAACAATTAAAAAAATAAGTATTATAAATAATTTTAAGTTTATATTTGATGTTAAGTATATTAAAATATTAAAAATAAATAATTGATATTAATTTTTAAATTTATAATTAATGATACTTTTTTAAAATATTAAAATAATATATAAAATATAAGATAAAAATACAAATATTTAAATAATATTATTTAATAGGTACATGCGAATATACACACTATCATATCCGTTTTCACCTTATTTATAAATAAATAAATAAATAAAATATTCATACCTATTACTTAAATTTTATTATTTGTTATAAATTTTATCCATAAACATGTGTGGTACATATATTTTTGCCTTCCCAAACTATAATGTTATTCATGGAATCATTGAAAGCCAATATTTGCTGAGAGGACGTAAAAGAAGCAACGACAATACCCCTACCTGGTGGCAACGAATTATTAATGTTTTAGGTCGAGCAAAGGTAAAATAAAGAATCTTTTATTAAGAATTGGTAGTTGGAGTAATTTGACACTTATAGATTTGAATAAAATATTAAAATATGAGTTATATTTTAGACATAAAATAATGATTGAAATAAAAATATACCAAATAAAAAATTGTTATGCTTCCCTGTAAGAAAAACATAAAATAAAGGGCTTACCAGATCGTGAAGCAAGGTTGGGTTGGAAGTACCCTGTCAACTGTCAAGGGCACACTCTGTGATGGTCAAAGCCAAGACAACTCAGACAGGGTTTCTGGTTCAGAGCTTTTCTCTCCTTTCGATTGGGACTCTCAGCCAACGCTGCCAAAAATCCACTCCTCCACAATCACCACAAAACAGGATAAATCAAATAAAATGAAATAACTTGTCATATAATACTATCTTATCTATATATATAAAAAAAAATCCTTATTGCTTGAAATAAATTTTTAATATTCAACATACTAAACCTATCTTTTTATACATTTTTAAAAAATGTTTAGAGAATATGTGAAAATATTTATATATTTAAAGTTAAAATTAGTTTTTTAATTGAAATATTATATGCAATATAAAAAGAAAAGTGAATTAAAAGTATATACTTTCATGATTCATTTTTAACCACAACTTCTTTCTCCTTTTATCTATTTATACATCGCTGTATTGAAAAATGATTTGACATCTCATGTAGCTTATTTTTGCGTATTCATACCATACTTACGCTCATATACAGAAGTTATGGATAAGAAAATGACTCAAATTAAAACATAAATACATTGATAGTATATGTTTTTTTTATATTCTCATTCAATCATGTTCTTACAAGATAAAAGTTCGAGTATCGAATCTTTTAAATTTTCCTACACGGACAATTTCTTTTAGATTTTTGTTCTTCTTCCAATCTCTCTTGAGATTTTTTTTTTATTTTTGGTTGAAATGGGTGAATATCTACAAAAAAAAAAAAAAAAAAAACTCGATAATCAAGTTAGTCCATATCTATATTTATATTTATATATACATACCTCGTCTGTCTTTTTTTCGAGCTTCACAACTATTGCAATTATAGACGAAGATAACAAACTTAGTGGAGGTTGAGATAATTGAGCCTACGCTATTATTTTGGTCATTGCATCAATAATTATAACTGACTTGTTTGAAGTTGACAAATCCGAGTACGCATTAGCTTCTTTGGTACAAATCACATATAATATATACGATAAAATTACTGACTTTGATATTTTTACATAAAAAATTATTATTATTTATTAATAACGATAAAAATGGTTAAGTTGATTAATATTATTGTAAATTTATTTTTTAAAATACTCATTGAATTAAATAGCTTACAACTTTAAAAAATGATGATTATATTTAATAACATCATCCATGATTCAAGAGATAATTTAATTTTCTCACTAATGAGTGTACCTTATATTGTTAGAAAAAAAAATATATATATAAACATTGGTTAAAGAATTAAAAACGTATGAAATTTTTTTTATTGAAAAATACAATAATACACTCATTAAACTACTAGATTTTGCTTAACAATGGGAGTTGTGATAGATTTAGATGAAAATAGGAGGGTGTGGATGCTCCTTTCGCATGCTGTTGGCATTCATGGTTGGCCAATTATTTCTGGACTTGTAATCTTACAGGTGTGAGAAGCGCGCAATGTACAAAAGGTTCTGTCCATTTTCCAAATATTGGGTGGAGAAGGCACAATAGAAGATGGTGCAAAAGCAAGGAGTTTGAGAAAAGGAAAAAAAAAAAAAACAAACAAACAAACAACAACAACATCAAAGAAAGATAGCAGGGTAGACTCATTACGTTGATTATCAACTTTGCATGGAAATTGGAAAAATAAATAAATTGAAAAGAAGCAAAATCGAGGGCCAAGAAAAATCTCGCTTTGGTTTCATATAGTCCATCTTCAATGCTTTCATGCAACAATTACACATCTAGTTCTTCGTGTCAATGATGTCTAAATTAAATGACATTACACGATAGATATTGAAGGATTACACATCTAGTTATTAGACAAAGATTTGATCTAAGTCACATTACATGACAGATAACTAATATTAATTATGTATGTTAATTAAATGTTTTAATTATATAGTAAATGTTGATTGGTAGACCTCTCTAACATATGTCAAATGTATTTGGTTCATATATTTTGTTATATCAATTATATTATGTGTTATGTCTTATTGATTTAAGTTTGATTCATATTATTTTTTATATTATGTCCAATGCATTACACCTAAGAGGATTATAAGAATTTAGGAAATTCTTTATTTCACTAAAAACTTTTACTTTAACATTTTGAAATATTGAAGGATTGTTGTATATTTTGAGTAAATATTTTACAAGTAATTATATTTATTTATTTTGTTTTAGAAAGTTCTTAAAATTATTATAGTAACTTAACAAATTTGATTTTATTTAAATTTAGTTTTGTTAACTTATTCTTTTAAATGAAGTCTCGTTTTATATTTTAATTTGAATTTTTAAGAGTCATTTATACATTATTATATCGACATTAAAAGTGATTTTAGAAACATCTTTTTCTTTTATGATAAATATAACAATAATTTAGAAAATTTTAAGAGAGTTTTGTCTCATCTTTTATTTCTTTTCTAGTTTCATATGTTTTTGTGAGTTATTTTACGTTATTCTCATTAAAAAAAATTTATTGATTTTGTTACCCAAGTTACTATCGAAAAGAGTTATCATATATCTCAAATATTTGCACTTCATCATACAAATAAGTCTTTGAAGATAACACTAAAACACGTTTAAGACTTTAATATACTTGTAATAATACAAATTTGAAAATTAGAGATGGCTCGTGATTAATAATTAATCATGAAAATAGATAACATATACAACAAAAGTAACTAAAGGTTTATTAAACTGACAGTCTCTACCGACTAAAGTCACCTAAATTTTTCACTGCCAAAATAAATCAAAACAAAAGAGTAGTTAGGAGTCAAGAGGATTGACATACTTTAAAGCAATGGACAAAAATAAACCAGTTACAGTAACAATATAAATATATAAAAATACTTGTGAATGAGTAATGTTGCAAATGCAAGCCCCTGCCACATAACACATTTTGGGAGATAGAAAGCAAACAAAACAATAAATGAGTTTGACAAATAAATTGATGGTTAGCAAAGGAATGGCAGTGGTGATAATGCTGTGGAAAACATAGGTTGAAAATGGAAAGAAAATGAAAAAGAAATGGAGAGGGGTGAGGCAGGGGTCATGCTCATGCTGACCCTATTGGTCTCCTCACAACTATATCTCCGCGTGTTAGGAACGTAGATGCTATAATGTCAATCAGTGTATTTGGAAAGACTTTGAACTTTGAAGAGAAACAGAAAAACTCTCATTTTCACTAATAACTTAACTCCTTTTTTGGGATGACAATGGACTGGTTGGATATTACTCTCTTCACCCGTCTTGTTTAATATGAATATTTATTTAATAAATATTTTTATTTTTTTTTATATATTTCTAAATATTCACAGACATGTGTGAATATTTGTTAGAGTGTAAAATTTTAAATAAAATTGTAAAAAATAAATTAAAATTAAAATTTTAAAACGTATTTATATTAATAATAATTTTATAACATATATTTGTACTAAAAATAAATAATTATGATACATATATTTATTGTAAAAATAAAGTAAACTAAATTATATTATATATAACTAAAAATATTTTTATTATTTTTAAAGTACAAGTATTTATAGGTACGAAATGTTTCATTAATAAACT